TTATCGTTATCCCATTCTACAGCTGGAAGACCAAGATAACTGGAGTGACTTCCACAGTGTCATTTGGGAATTATCGACAGTGACAGAAATAAATTTCTGAACCCTATTGGAGTGTCTGTCTGTAAAATAGTAACTCCTCAGTCCTTTGCAAGTGTGTGTCTGAACCAGACTTACTAAGCAGGTTGAAAGTTCCCTTTGTGGATTGTTCTTGCACACTGGAAAAAAAATTGTCTACACCGAAAACTTTCTTTTACAAAAACAAAATTGATTTTTTTCTTGTAATCAGGCATGGATTAGCTGTGAACTGCTTTCTGGTATCTAAGATCACATTTTTGATGTCCTTAAGTGATGCATAACTCACAGATATGCTACTTTGTCACTGCTGCATATTCATGAAGGGACTGCAAACCCCACTTTTACACAGGTACCATTCCTCTGAATATGTCTGAATGATGTGACATCATGATTTTGAGTAAGCTTTAAGAAGGAGAAAACCAAGCCACCTGGTAAGAGGAAAAATGCAACAATCTGGTACTGGGTCATTATTGTATTCAGGTATTAACGTATATATTATTTTATAAATTATCTAAGGACATGTGATGATGCTGTTTCCATTTGCAGAAACACTTCAGCAAATCCAATGTCCTAATCACCTTCTCTCTAAGATGACTTCATTATTTGTCTTCTTTTCTAAAGAAAGAAAGTTAAAAAAAAAACCCCAACCAATCAACAACAAGATCACCTTGTGTCTCAACCAGGCATAGGGCTGATTCTTTAGCAACTTTTAGACAAGCATGCCTCAGGAAAGAGTCATTTTTTGTTCTCTGGATATTGTGATTCCAACTGATTTTTCAGACTCCACTGACTATTTGCACATGATCATTCACTCAACATTTGTCTATTCCTTCTCTGAAATTGAAATGTCAGCCTTAATTACTGTGCAGTGGGAACTGACCTTTATGGTAGCCATCTCAGGGCCATGCTGCTTCTGACAATGGTGTCTCACCTTCTACTTCAGCTTTTCTACTCCCTTCTGCCTGCAAAAATAGTCTGGCCAAAAAACAATTTGTCAGAACAAAGAGATTCATTTTCAGACAGATGAGTTCTCTTGGTTCACCACATGGTGAAAAGTTTGTGCTGACATAACGGAGGATGTGGGAAAGTGCACCAGCCAGAACTTCAGTCCCAAATAGACAGTGAAAACAGAGCTTTTGAAAGTTGACTGAGAAAAGAGCAGGAGATGAGGAGGCCCAAACAAACACAAATGAGAGCTCTTCAACAACCTGTTTTACTGGCTGCTCTTGCACCCTCTATACACAGCCCTTCATTACTGTACCATCTCACGTGGGAGTCACAAAGACAAACTATCCACAGGCTGTGCAGCCCTAACACCACAAAAATAATGTATGGAATGAGTACAGAGGAGCAGATACATGCTCCTCAACACAATATTAATATATGGGAGAATAAGAAAAAAATGGTTCCTGCCTTTTCTAGATCTTCCTGTGTGTCTACACTGAATCAGCCCTAACAGAAACATCTGCTTGTGCTTAACTTCACTAATTCTGCAGATGACACTAAAACACATTTCACAAGATGCGTTGCAGCAATAGCGCTTTACTGCTGTAAGTATCCCTCAGGTGCAAATAGCTTCTTTTGTGACAACAGCTTTAAATAAACCAAACTTTGTAGCAACACGAACAGCTAAGCCAGACACAGTAGTAAAAATTCACAGGGTTTTTAATACAACTCTGTCCACATGAAACACTTCTGCTGACATGGGTGTTTCAGAAACCACAACGCTTAACAGCTAGACGTGGGGGAATCTGTAGGGTAATTCCCATCCTTAAGGAGAAACTCTTCATAATCTCTCTTGCAAGATCAGGCCATCATTTTCTGAACAGTGATGGTACTGCAAATGCAATGAGCACATAACAGTGGATGATTATCCTTCAGTAGTTTTCATTGCAGAGTACTTACTGTACAAACACAGTACAGCAACACACATGGGCATGTGTGTAATCTACAGTGTATAAATAAACTGCTTAATAAAACTGTGCTGATACATCTTTGGCCCTGGTGGTCATAAAGCAGGAAACACTTATTAATGGCATAGAATATCTAGTACTTGTAGGACCACATAACAGGCTTACAGCAAATGAGGCAGGATTTTTCTACAATGATGTTTTTCCTGGCCTATGAAGTTTCCTTTTTTTCACTTCTTCCATGTTCCTCGCACAGAAGTTTATGAATCCAATTTCATCTTGTCTGTTACTGGTGTGGGTGCTTCTCTTGCCCTTAGAATACACAACCTGCTTCTCTACTTAGCTCTGATACTTATCAGCCAAAAAATAGTAATCTAATTAAAAAAAAAAAGAAGTAGTTTCAAATTAAAAAAAATATAATATGGTTCTGTGCAAAGATTAGTTTGGTTCTTTTTCAGGTAGAGTAAAATGTAAAGAATTCTGAATAATCACACAAACTGCTAAACATACAAATGCTGTATGGAAGTTAAAGAAGAATTAGTGGGCCATTCAGTCCATTCAAAATATTTTAAAATATTTTTAGAGAGAGCAAGACCTTACATATCAAGTGAGCTATTTGATAGATTATAAGGTCCTTTATTGTATACTGCGAAGATTGGCCATTGTGCTTGAATTTTTTTTAGGAATATGAATACCATATTATTAACTTCACAGCGTACAATTATGAGATATAACTGCCTCCCAGGCAAAACACTTCTCTCCAATGATGAGCAATGGAACCTGAAAAGCACAAGTATTCTTCTTGCGTTCAGCTTCATAATTATATAATTATATAATTACAATTACAGCTGGCAGGTTTACTGTGTCACATTAATTTTTTTCAGAACATATAGTGTCACTTTAAAGCAGCTAGAAACACGGCATTAAAGAAACCTGTTTGCTAGGCTCTTATAAAGACTACACCATCACTAAAAGGTTCATCCTCGTTATTAAAACAGTTCTGCAGCCTTCCTGCCCCCAGCTATTTTAAGTTCCTGTGACAAGTACCATCCACGTTAGGAATTTTCACAACATCCTGAATGTTTTGCCTGTAGAAACAGGTTTTACAAGGATAATGGCATGAAGTGCTTCAACTGACCAACCTGCTTAACAGCCTGCAGTGGGATCACAGAGGCACACATGAGCCTTGAGCAGCAACATGCCAGAGTACCTGTGTTGAATATGCTGGCTTTTGACAAACAGGAGATGTCAGATGGTAACAGAAAGTAGAGAATGTTAATTCAAAGTACTGGAGAGCATTAGTCATGCTGGATGGCCACGGTAAGTTCTGTCAACATATTCCAGATACAAGTAATAAATCTGGACTTTTCTGGCTTCCCTTCTTCCTCCCACCTTTCAGGAAACACATACACAACCACACTTCAAGAGTAATAAAAGCAGCGGTGTTAGGCAACCGGATTAAGCAAATTCATGTTGCTTCAACACAAAAAATAAAACTGAGTTAAACAAAAAAGAGAAAGTTTGTCAGTCTTACTCCAGGAACTTCTGCTAACAGCACCTGTGCCATTATATGCTTCACCATCACTGAAGCGTTCATCATCAGAGTGTTTAAAGGCTGTACAACATACAAATTGGTTTGAGAAAAAGGAACCCTGTATTAATCCTGTAGAAGCAGAAAGACTCACTAGGCTTTGTGAATTTAAAGACAGTTAAATAGTAGTTCAAAAGACTGGGAGAAAATTCATCAAAATGAACACAAGGCTATAAGAATTTTAAGGCCAATAATCATATGCATAATTACATGTTTGTCAAAAAGGGGAAATGTAGCAAAACTATGACTGAGAAATAATTTCACTGATCACGATGCAGCAGAAAATAATTTCTTTTGAATCACACTTGTTTGCTTCCACTTGCAGCTTTGCAAGCATTAAAGAAAAAGTAGTAGCTAGAGCCTAGGCATCATAGTTTCTCAAGAGTGTAATTCATTTATCAGCATAAATCCCATCTCAAAAAGTAATATAAGCAGCTTAGGAACATGAATGCCATTAACTTCCAGTCCCATTTAGAACCCCAAGTGCATTTGTGTTCTTTGTAAAAGAATATAACCCAACCCTGCAACTTGTGTAGATAAATCCCTATGACTTTCTGAAATTAGTCACTCTACCAATTATTTGCGTGAATTAATAACCATAAAATGGTATGCATAAGACACTGTAAAATTAATTAACATTGACAAGAGTAAAAAAGAACTTAGAAAATTCTTGCAAATGTGCGTCTATTTATCAGATGCCTGTGATCAAATTTTTTAAGAAGTCATTTGTGGCCTTTTAGAAAGGAATGTTTTTAAGCCATTTCCTTCATTCTGTGCTGTATAAAACCATGGTACTTCATCAATCCCTCCAGTTCAAGGACACTTTCTTGGGACTTAGTTAAGCAGTTCAACATATGCCTCCTGTCTGCACATACAACAGACTCCAAAACCAAGTGCCAAACCTATTAGCATGTTGTTACTTTATGTCATGCCGTATGTATCTCTGAGTTGTGTGTGCTGAAAGCTCCCTCAAGGGAGAAGTCTCCCCACCTTCCACCTTAATGCCTCTTTACACAAATATTTCCAATTAGGCAGGACTCCTAAACATATGTATCTGCAATAGGTGGCACTGATCCAAAATATTTACTGCTCAGATTCCTCTTTCTGAGAGGGTCAAACCCAGCTTTGGGACAGCTCTACATTTGAATTCTAAAATCTCAAGTTGAGAAATGTTCTCATTTTTTGACTTGGCTCAGATAAGCTTTTTCTGAAAAAGATGTAGCGGTCCAGGATTTTCCTTTGGGTCAAATCTGGGCATCTTTATTCAAATGTCATAGTGATTATGTCATTAAAAAAGGCCATTACACAGAACTTCATTTCAAGCATTACAAAACGAAGATGTCAAAGTACTTCAGCAGCTATCTGGAGCCTGTGTTACAGGTTATGTAAGTGATATAGAACAAGAACTTAGCAAAGTTGCTCACCTTCTTCATCTGAAACATCCAGGACCTCAGTCATTGTCTCAGGTACATTTAGCTTGTGCTTCTCTGTCACAGTCTGCAAAGACAGAATCACCAAACCTCAAATTAAACACCCAAAAGAAGCAGCAAAGCTTACAGCAGGATATTTGAAACAGCAACACTAGTGGGATCTGCTAAGACATTTTATAATGTGCTTCCCCTTCCCCTAAGTTTCTTTTTCATCTTTACTCCAGAAGCTCCTATTCTCAAGTACTGTATAAGGTAACATTTAGTCTGGCAGAGAAGTACAAAAACATAAAGATAATGAACTGTTCAGAGGAATAAAAGAAAGCTCTCAGCCAATTTATTTATAAATGGTGCATGCAGAACAATTCAGCTTGATGTTTCAAAAATGATTTTTAAATGAATTAGGTAATGTCTACACAAGAGCTTCAGAAAGTTGTATGTGGCATATGGAAATTATTAAATCATAAAGCATTTGGAAATGAAGTTATGAATGATGTGAAATTTTTAAACTAAAAAAAGATGTGAGGGATTTACACAGATCACTTGAAACATTTCTCTCCCCCCCAAAAAAGTGACTACACTGCATATTAATGATACCCCTTTCATAAATCATGTATATTCCCCCAAATCACATATACATCAGGGATAAAAAAAGTTATTGGAAGAGCCTGATATGTTTTGTGCACCTAAAAGCTTAAAGCATTGTGATACAAAGCAAGTATGGACCAAGGACTGCTGGGAGGACACTGCTTAAGCCTGAGAGCAGAGAGTAGAACCCTGGAAGACTTATTTTTAATACGATTTTATCTTCATAACTGACTTGCAGAAGGAAACAGATGACGTTCAGGGGTGCTGAATCAAGAATGGGAACATCCTTTTAGCATCAAGACACACATTGGAGAAGGAGATGAGGAACATGAGACAAACTGTAGGAAGTGCAAGGTGTGAAAAAGTTGCCTGCAGGAAACTGTTCAGTGTGTTACGGTACAGGAGAAAAAATGCCAAGGACTTAAAAAAGTGCAGTGATCAGAAAAGCATTAGTCACATTAGAAAAATCAGTATTTTCCTGGCTCCACCCAGATCTGCAGTCAGCTGAGCTGAGATGCCGTGGAAGGGAATCAACACACTGCCCTTTCAGGTATGTTGGAGCAGATGTGCCCCTTTGGCACGGAAAGGAACATCAGGAGAACGCATCTTGCAAAACTCCCACGCAGGCAGTACTTCATTGCCTACTGGAGATGGTATCTATTGAGCATAAACTAACATTACATGCAGAAGTAGTGAAAGAGGGATAATTAATGTCAGTCAAATCCCAAGTTCCTTATGTAATATGCTTTTGTGAAAATGGCCATTGGTATCAAGCAAGTAAAGTAAATAGCAGTTTCGGCTGCATAAAACCTACTAGGTATTTCCTGATTGTGTCTTACTCTTCTCTAACAACGTGACAAAGAAGCATTCTTAGTTATTATAAGATACTGCACTTTTATAAATAACAAAGTTCCAAAGTAATTACACGTTGGTAAACTTGTTTTAAAAGCCTGCTTTACATTTTTAAAATCTATTTAAGTGTTACAGCAGTTTTCAATTCACCCTTCTGAGGTACAGGGAAAGAACAATACCCTTTGCTCCAAACGGCAATCCCAGTTAGGCCTCCTGAATTCCCTGTTACCCATGATTCAAGAAAATTCACTATTTCTCTTGCAGCATTTTTCATAACACATGTTCTGTGTTGAAGGCTAGTTTATTTTCACCTAATGCCTCTACCAGTATGACTTCCCCCACTCCCCTGCATTTCCAAGGCTTTCCTCAGGTAGAAATGTCAGGCAGCAGCAGGATGACAAAGCCTGACGTTCAGGTAACGCTGACCTCGTCTCATTACAGGTACTCAGTACAGCAGTAAGTTAAAAACTACATCCTAAATTAAAAATAAAAATCACTGACACTGGGCTAAAGAAATAAACCCAGGTGAAGGGGGCTGTGTATTTTTCAAGTGAGGAGGAAAGTATAGTATGTGAGTGCTAATTTACTGGCATTGTAATTGTAATTGGCATCTACACAAAGTGTACAGCAAACTTTCTATTGACAGTTCCTACGTTCCCCACATAAAATAACAGAAAAGTCAGGGGGGAGGGAAGAAAGGAAAGGAAGGCAGGAGGACGTAATCAGATTCTGAAGAAAGGAAAAAGAAAGGGTCTGCCTAAAAGTCACAAATCCTAGGTTTTGTTTGTCTGCTGTATGACCAAAATTTAATTAAGAGAACTTGGTATCCCAACCTTAGCTTATTCCAAACTTAAAGTTCCCAACTTACCTTACATACAAAATCCCTTTGATTAGAATAACACAGATGTGAACGGATGCTACAATACTCTAGTCTACAAGCCACAGGTACAGAGAAATGTTGTACACTATCTTTTGATTAACTTACATCTGCAGGCCCTAGTAACTAAGGTTCATTTATCATGATATCAATTTATTCCTAAATCAGGTTTTTATAGACCCCTTATTACATACTTTAACAACTGAAATAAAGTTTGGAAGGCAGAATCACAAAAGTGTGTCCGTGTGTGCACATTCATGTCTCAGAAGAACAAAAAATCTCTGGAATACTGAACTCAGCAAGAATCACGGATTCTACATCAATTCCCAACCAAAGTTGTGAATTAATGTTTTTTAATTAACTTTTAATATAATACTAGATGGGGTTTAGAGGTTTTTTTTGTAACTGATAGGCACATTAGAAGTGTCAAATACTCCCAAAATTTAAAATCTATATCTTGCCCCACTTTGCTCAATATATATTTTTCAAACTTCCTACTGTTCTGTTCCACTGAGAATTCAATCACTTGAATGCCTGTGTATTTAAGACTTGCATTGTAGGGCCAGATTTTCAACAGGTGACATAGAATAATCCAGATATGTAATTCAGGTATATAAACCTATATGTACATTCAATGGCAGTATACTGTAAACAACCTGAAAGCTCCTCATATATATTCATTTGTTCACAGGAAGACGTAGATCTGTTTGTGTAAATACCCCAAAACTTAATTGCACAGCCAACCTTTGAAAGTTTGGCTTATTCTGATTTATTTCCTATATATATCTAATTTGTGAGTAAACATAAGCACACTTTATTCTCTCTGTTGCTTTATATTCATGTGGCTGCACTGATAATAACACTAATGCAAGAGGAAAACTTGTTCGAAGTTAGACCAAAAGCTTTGGCACTGGAGACCTTTTCCTCTTCTCAAACGCCAGTGACTTGAATATCAATAAAGCATCAGCCCAGCTAAGATCCGCCACGCATTCACTCAGCTACAACCTCAGAGAATGAGGTAGCTATGGTGACAGCACCTTTTTTTCAGTGCTAAATGCTGTGTTCTGGTTTGGCAACACCAATCTCACCACCATCTGGAGAACTTTATTGCAGGGAGTGCCTGTTACCTAGCCCTCCTTTTTAGGACTTGTTCTGAATTATGTTTAATCAACATTCCCCACCATGAACGCCACCACCAGAGGTTTATATTCTCTATATGCCTGAAGTACAGGATTCAGACAAATTCATAGCTAAAAAGTCTGCTGAGTTTATTGAGGGTTCCCACCTGACTTTTAAAAGCAGTGCTTTGCACATAGACACAGTTCAAAATTTCATATTTCTCTTATATGCAAGCATTAGAGGTCAAGTATGCAAGTAAAGTTCAGTATTTGATTCAGTCCTAAACCCCCGGCATCTGGTATCTGGTAGAAAAATCCATTACCCTCAATGTTTAAAAAAACATTTATCCAAAGTAAATAACTCACAGGTGTCTTTTCATTGTGTAATCGCTGTTATTATAAAGTATCTAATAGTTACATATGACAAGGTACAAGGCTCCACAGTGCAACACAATGTACAACAGGAAGGAAGTTACAATTTATATCAGGCATAAATAGGAAAAGTAAACAGCAAAGAGAACAGCAAAGGTGCCAGGTGAGGCTAAAAAACATACTTTTGAAGAGCTAAAGTTTCTCCAAAAATTTTACATAGGTTTTCTTTTTCTAAATCTCTGAATAGATACACAAGTGTTTATGCATGCACATGTGTGATGTGCTATTTGGTTAAACAACAACATGAAACAACTACTAACAAAAACATACATTCTTTATTAAGAGACTTCTGGAATTATGCTGGCATTCCTTGTCCAAACCTGACTCAGTCTCATCTTCCTAGGTCATTAATAAATTATGGCTCACTCTATTTGCAACCTTATGCCATGTTACTTTTATTCCATAGTCCTCTGTTCCTATCAGTCGGCCTGCTGTCAGCACGTGACAAAACCAGAATTATTTTCCCATTTCTTTACCGTTGGAAGAGACTTTGGATTTCTTCCCTTCCTCTAACCCTCTCCCTGACTGAACAGTGGCATCTTCTAAGTAATCCGTGGATTTTTACAGCTCTGAGCTCCTAAGTGACAAATAGATCTTACAGGTTTTCTAGACTGCTCATCTTTCTTGCATTAAAAAAAAAAGTATGACTTTACAATAATGTTTCAAGACAAAATGCAGTAATGGAAATTTAAATTAAAATTAATTTCTTAAATTATTTCTAATTTTCTCCCTTCCTACCTGCTAGAACATTTATAGATGGGAGATAAAAGTACAAGTAGATAAAACCTTCCCCTCCCAGAGTGTCAGAATATATCTATTTTTCCTGGTTTAAAGTGACAGAACCACCTTGCTTTTGGTTCAGCATAGGCTATTCACAAGTCCTGAAGTCAAAATACAGACTATTAAGAGTGTGGAGGACTGAGAAGATTGAGCACATAAGGAAAAATTCTTTTGTATTATGGAAAAAAGTATCTATTTGAACTAAAAGTGACTTGAGCAAGAACACGACTGATGTGATTCAGAGCCATATAGTGAGCACCATTAAGCTTGGCACTAGTCCATCACTGGTACAGTCCAAACACTAAGAAACTTGCTGTGGTTTGCTGCAATGGTTGAGCTTCAGTAGGTGTCAGAAGTGTCGAAACATAAGGAGAGAATGAAAAGGAGAGGCAAAAAGAGAAACCCGACAGGACCTAAACGACAAAACACAAACTTCTGGAAAGTTTGGGTTTGCAGCTGAGACCACATCTAGAAAAAAGTTTTACTCTGCTTTTGAATAGTTTTCCATCTGTATGCACAATGATTTTGTTACCTAGCTCAGTGAAGCCTGTTGTGTTGCACACACTGCTTAAAAAATACACTGAAAGCATTAGAGCACTTTTGCAAAAATCCAACAGAAACGGGACAAAGGGAGGGCTAAAACCAGCAAATAAAAAAAAGGGACAGATAGATGGAGAGCCTGAGGGAAGAAGAGAAAGACAACATTCTGAATAAAGGAGAGACATTTGAATGCATCTGCAACTCACAGTTGTGGTGGTAGTAATCTCCTCCGTTACAACCTTCAGCGTATCGACCACTGAGATATATCCCAGCCGCCTTGCAATAGCTAAGGCAGTGTTACCATTCTGGAGAGAGAAGAGAGAAGGGGGGAGAGAGAGCGCAATGAGAGGGAGGATTGTGATGTGAACCAATGAGCTCACTCTCAACACTGCATGAGCCAGCATTTCCATCCAAAACAAGGCGCAGCCTAGGAAAATCACTGGTTTTTTTACTGTTACATCTGACTCTGTCTTTGTAACTTCTTTAAGACTATAGCCCTGATTGCCATGGTAACACAACACACTTACATCTGCCTGCTATGCTAAATAAAAAAAGCACTGTATGGTTTAACCCTTCAGTGCTCAAATTTTACTATACACAACGTCTGGCCTGCAGACAGACATTTTATTTTGCATAAACATCTCCAAATCAGAAATACTCCAAAAAAAAAAAAAAAAAAAAAAACCCAAAACCAAAACAAACAAAAAAAAACCCAAAACAAAACCAAAAAAAGGTATTTTAAAATATTACAGTTTCACTTCCAGTTGAAACTGTTAAGTCTTTATCAGGTACAATTCTCTCTTTGGGAAATACAAGATTACAACTGTACTGTCGGCATACACTTCTATTCCTCCCTACAACAAAAATGCATGTCCAATAAAAGTACCTAAAAGCTAATGATTTAACAAACTCAAACCCAACCTATTTAAGGCTTGGGCTGGGAAATTAAAATCCATTTAAATAAATTTATTTGCCACTTACATGTCCACGGTAATAGACATGCCATTCATCAAATGGAAATTAAAATAATAATTTAGTAAGTGTTTAGGCCTATTTACCTCCATTTCATCGCCTGGTACCCCTGTCACTTAATTTGGGGAGTGGAGGACGGGATATGTTCCATAATTCTTTATAAAGAGCTCTACACAGAATCATTTTACGTTCTTTTGCACCAAATAAAGGATAACATGCTGGCCTACCATGGGAATCATGCAAAGCCACTGTACTGCTCTTTGCAGTGAAATAATTTCTTTTGTGACACCACCACACAGTGCGCAGGGTATCAGCCTAAGAGCTTCTCTCTGCTTCAGTATTGGCTTTAGTTACCTATAATTTTGGTTACTCTAGCTCAGGAACCCTGAAGCAACACACCATTTGTGGATTAGCAGCACAAAATTAATAGATTAGCATCTTCACAGCACAAATAATTTGACTGCTACTATCACTTGCATGTTAACTGCTCCTATCCCACTCTCATATCCCCCTGCCAGATGTCTCAGGTTGAAATTCTCTCTAATCTCAAACTAGAGGTTGCTATGTTGCTACAAGGACAGATCTAGTACCTGAGAAAGCATGCAAATGGTGCAGTAAACACATCCTTGAGGCTCTGCTAAAATCTGGGTTAGATTTGGGCACAGCAGTCCCAACAGGAGGACTGAAAGTGAGGAAGACTATCAGTTGAAGATGCCCACCAATACCTATAGCCCCAGAAGCTGCCTACAGTGGTTTCTTGCTTGACAATCTGGTGCATAAACCATTATTTTGGATAACTTCACAGATGATTAGTCAATGTGATCATTCCAAGACCAAACAGGGTGCCAGTGCTGATTTAAGCATGCACAATGTATGTACATGGAAACCTGATCCACTCTGGGGAATGACATGAGTTTTGGCCATTCTGGCTGCATTTTAAAGGTTACCCAATTAGAGGTGACTAGTAACACCAATATGAAATAGGATAGTTGCATTCTGCTGACTGCAGAGCAGGAGCTGTGCCAAAGGTTATGAACGGTCTTTGAGGAGGCATTAACACCAGTGAACTCAGTAAGAACCTGAAACAGATCCAGTGGATAGAGGGAGAGAAATTTGGGGCTATACCTTCAAAAAAGCCTAGGTTCTGATTTCCCCACATCACTTTTAAGCTTAGGGCACAGTGGGTGAGATCTGATCTGAACTACCTTAAAAGGATAAGGAAAAGAAGAGGAAGTTAGATTTACACATCTGACAACCAGCTGTATGAGGAATACTTTCATCATTACAAAGGCTAAGCCCTAAAAAAAGAAAGAAAAGAACTGTCCAGGGAAACAAGTTCCCACTGGGACTTCACAACTTACAGTGGTGATGGCATTGGGCTTGGCCCCATGTTGGAGAAGGACATTGATGATGTGAGTGTGGCCTTGTTGAGCAGCTTGGTGAAGAGGGGTGTACCCATTCTGTTGTCCACAGCAGTTATGAAAAGCAAAAAAGAAAGAACAACAGCCACGAGTAATTAGATTAGCACTTCCCCTTGCTTCCTTCCACTCTTTTTGAGATATTTCAAAAAGAAATTATGCCATCAATAGACCAAAGGATAATAAAATCTTCACTACTAACAATACTCCTCCAGATTCATGAAAAGATAAAGGAAGAAAATATTTTTATTCACAAATCATCTTTTATCTCACAATATAAACAATTTCTGGAAAGATAGGTAATTCCTCATTTCCTAAATCAGAGGCAGAAAAAATGAGGAACAGTAAAGTTCAAGTAGCACACAAAGGACATAAGATCACAGCTGAGGCAGAGAACATGCTTCTTACTCTCACATATTAGTCTTCTACAGAAGCCCCAAGACTTGCCTTCAAAGTATTTGAGCCAATTTAAAAACTATATAATTTTTAAGAGCAATGATTTGAGAATATTTGCTTTTAAAAAGGCTAACAACATATACCTATTACAAATGTCAATCAATTTTAGCTTTACTTTGCCTTCAAAAGGCTGGAACAAGCTGTAATTACACTTAAAAACATGTACACAATGTCTGTATTAATAAACACGCTTATCTCCATATACTTATCTGCACCAGTGATTCATTCTAAGGTGATAAAATACAGAAAGTTAACCAAAGCATACTTTAGCTAGTTGATCTGAGATGGTATTGTGTAAGTCCAGTCAGGCATTATATTTACAAAATTATTTGCAATTGGCTTGCAAAAAGCAAGCAGAGAATAAACTGGAAGAAAACACCGAGCTGATCTCACTGTACACTTACGTAAAGCCTAGGGGCAGGCTCTAAAAGACACACTCAAGAGTTCTGTCTTTTGCAAACAGATGCCAGGAATGCTTGTGCTACTCATTAAATAGTGATAGTTCAGAGCTATTACAGTTCTTATATTTATGCATGCATGGACCACTAAGAAATTGAAAGAGTATTTTACTGTAGGTTGTAGCACAAAGAAAATTCACTATCTTTACTTTACTTACTTAACTATTAGTACAGTCCTTCAGAAATAGAATTCAGCCACATTATTTTTCTCTGGAGATGCACAAAGCATCATGCAGGCTTTCTGTACTCTAGTTAAAGACTAAGCTGCAACAGGGGTTACTTACTCTTTAACATGCCTATCCTGAATCCAGTCAGGATGGATTTTCTCTTTAAACTGAGTCCACAGCACTAGCTGACAGATTGCCAGTATTTTTATTGCTCCCTTGGCGTGAGATTTTGAAGAAGCACTGCCTCACACACTCATACAAAGTTGCTGACATTAATGAAATTATTCTAAATAAGTGAAATATCTGGGGAAATGGCCTCAGAATCCAGCCCAGTGGCCCCTTAGAGAGTGAGATCTAATACTAAAGGCGCAAGTACATCTGCCCCTTCAGTTAGCCTCCAAATAACTAAGCTGAATGCCTTGGCAGCTATCATTTGGATCCTGTTAGCATTTGCTTTATTAATTCTTATCAGCTGTTTTTTTCTAGTATCATTGCCTGTTCTTCTGGAATCCCTGGGTTTTGCCCATTGGTTTGGGGTGATCTCACTAGGGATGGGCCAGCATCTTTTATTTATTTACTCTGCTCTTTCTTACCACATTAAGCTGTGACCACTGAAAAATCTACTTGTACATTACTACTACTACAGTACTCGTACAGTGCTACTTTGGGAAACGAATCCACCCCATAGGTCACAGCTGGAGATAGAGAAGCTGGCCAGAGGGACCAGCAGACCACACGCCCGGGATTTTCATCGGATCTTACTACTGAGTATGTCACTAGAAGTACTAATGGGCTTCTTCAGGCTGATCGCAAGACATCCAATCTGAAACTAGCAGTGACTGCCTGAAGCCAGCTTTAACTAAAACTTTAACTTTAAACTTACAAATTAACTTTTCAACTTTAGCTGAAGCCTTGCAGCTCCTAAGTTAGCCTCCTTTTTCTGGTAAGGGTGATGTGATGGTATCTGGGATGCAACATGCTGCTGCTGTCACCAGAACCTCTATGTGTATTCTAAGGAGATAAACAATTCTTGCTACAAAATGCATCACATTCAGCTGTTGGTGTTCCACTGCTGAAGTCAGTGGATTTTGTTCAGACTTCGGCTATAGGCAGTTGGGTACAACTTGTCAGTAACAGTGTACCCAGATTCCCCTAAAAAAAAAAAACCAAACCCAAATGTGTCTTTTCTAAGCTGCATTCCCACACCACAGCTGCTTCCTCTCCAGAGTCACACCACCCACACATCGATCATTCTTCCCACTCTTTTCCCAGCACTTTGGAGAGAACCTGGCATTACCCTCAAAATGTCTTTACTTACTAGTTTGGCAGCACACAGGTGTAAGCCATGTGTAAATGAGATCAGAAACAAGCTCACATTTGTTAGTTTCCAAGTACAAAGAAAAATAAACAAACAATGAAAATGATTCTCTATCTCCTTTCTTCATACTCCCAAAACTGACTTTTCTGTTGTGAGTGCTACAGGACGAGATACAGCAGAGAGTGTTTCACTACAGTGACCACTCACCATATTTTGACACCTACTACTCAATAATTATAGTTTCCTAGTGAAAAGGCACTAAGTGAAAAGGTATGTATTCCTAGTGCTCTGTTACCAGGTTCATAATAAAGAGCAAAAGCAAGCAATGAAAAATTCTTTACCTTCGTTTTAGCATTGACATTTGCTCCCTGCTTGAGAAGAAAATTCACCATTTTGATGTTTCCATAGTGACACGCCACAATTAAAGGTGTGTAACCAAGCTACAATAAGAGAACAAGTAAGTAAAATGGCAAGCTCAGTGGAACATTCCTTTTACAAGGGTAGTATCCTTTGGCACACTGAAGACAGCAGCCACTTCATGATTTACCTTTGTCTGAGCATCTTGGTTTGCACCATGTTTTGTGAGTATTTCAGCTACGTTCACTTTATCCTCCTGAGCTGCGAGGTGCAAGGATGTCAGTCCAGTCTGGAGGTGGAATATACAAAATAAATTTAAAAATAAAGGCATAAGAATAAACCCTATTTTACACAAGGAAAGAAATCTAGATTTTTCCACTTTCTTATCTTTAAAACATAAAGAGATCCTAACTATAGCTTCCAAGTATGGGTGGTTTGGTTTTTTTTGAACAAAGTAGGGTTGATGTTTCTCCTGTTCTGGCTGGCAAACAGCTCCAAAGCAATTACATCACCATAATCACAGAGTAAAATTTTCAGGCATCAGTGATCATGCTCGGATTTTATACAATAATGTCACTTGGGAAGCTGAGGAGCTCATTAATAAATTAAGGAAGCACATTCACTTCCCACTCCTCAGACAGGAAAGGGAACCTTGACAAGTGCAGGCACGAGACAGAATAAAGAAAATAACTCCAAAAATAAATCCCATTCAAAGATGCCAAAGAAATGGATGCAGCCTTTAACTAAAAGCTCACTGTGATCATGCACAGAGTACTTGTCTGTGAACAAGGCAGGGAACAAATTCTGTATGAGAAATGTAAATCACCTTCTTTCTCATTAGTTAGGTAGCGTAGCACAGTGAGAAACCTTCTATTTTGACTTGTATGAACAAAAGTCACAGACTTTGACCTTAAGTAAGACTTAGATATATATGCCAGGATAAATCTAGTGACCTATGAATATCTACAGAAATGGGGTCTTTTTTGAGGAATTTTTTTTTCTATGAAAAAAACTGTCACATACTACCATAAAAAAAAAAAAAAAAAGCAAGCCAAAAAAATTGGAAAGGTCCTCCACAGGAGTTTTCTCCCTTGCTAGTGTGCTACTAATAATATTATTTTGTTATTTGCCAGACACTGCCTATTTCTTCCACTTGGAAAGAAGGCTGAAGGGTAAATGCACCTTGCAAAAGCACTAAACTATTTTAGACTGCAGCTCTCTGGTACCTGATACATGTTTTCTTAAATCTGGGGGTTGGAACTAGATGATCTTTGAGGTCCCTTCAACCCAAACCATTCCATGAATGCATGAAATCTACTCACGAGCCCACAAACTCCAGAATTTTACATTCTTTTTCCTTTGCATCTAATGTAAAACTTCAGGAATACATGCAAAACACCTGAGAGACAGCAAGGTTGCAATAGCACAGAAATACTGCAGTCCTGCCTTCCTGAAGGCACAAAAACAATTTTCTCTTGGTCTGCTTTTCCTCCTGTAACCTCTCTGCCAGAAAAAGGTGCTACATGATTTTCCTCCAGTCGTGGCAAATAGCTGCAGCTCCTCCTGTGTGTTTCCCAGTACAGCTATTAATTACACCATATCAGTTAACTGGTCAATCCATTTGCCAGCCCTAGAGATCCTCTTCTCACTTTTACTGTTCACCCATCTGTTGTCACTTCTGCACACTCACAAGTATATACACAAGGAAGTGAAGCTGAGAATTCCTGACAAGCTGACATAATTCCTACACTGCACTTTGCATTTTATGGTATAGTCCCATGCACAGTACTTTGTCTCCAGTTTGTACCTTTGTTGCCACATGAATATTGGATCCTTTCTCCAAAAGCAAGGTCACCATGTCAGTGTGACCTTCTTGGGAAGCCAGATGAAGGGGGGTGACTCCTTGCTTGGTCAAAATGTTGGTCTCAGCCCCATAGTTCAATAGAGTAGTTGCTATCTGCATCTGATTCTTCTTGGCAGCAATATGCAAAGGCGTGTATCCATTCTAGCACCAATCAGGGAACAAAACAAGAATAAAGTTAACACTACAACAGCCACATAAGCCTAAGAAGCCAGTCACCACCAAACAGTATTCTTTTGTTACCCATTATTACTAGAGATGAGAGTTCATTAAATTTTCAAGGCCAGACACGGCCCTGCTATTGTGTTGCTTTGTTCGCCTGTTATTTTCAGCATCTAAACCAGAACAAAGCCAGCCCTTGCTCGGGTGGGCAGGACTGTTCAGCTGGTACCTTCAAACCACCCCAAGTCTGGCACCTACATTTTGAATAACCTATGTTGTAAATATTCCCTTTTGACTGATGAGCAACATTCTCTGTGATGGGTGCATACTCCTCACTGCATTATGCTTTTTCAGAGCAGGCGGGTAGAGGTGCGTTTCCATACAGAATCACGACACCAGCTGGGAGCAGCAAGAGGGAGGGAGGAATGGGATTTTTTGGATCAAATTAACTATTTGTCTGGGTTGGACGGTAGTTGGAGCAACCTGGTCTAGTGGAAGGTGTCCCTGCCCATGGCAGAGGGCTGGAACTAGATGGTCTTCAAGGTCCTTCCAACCCAAACCAGTCTGTGATTTAGACAAAGCAGAATGGTATTGATGGCAACCTTCCCACCTTTAACTGCTTAACTGCAGGCTGTGGGGGGAATGCTCTGGCTCACAGCAGACCGCCCCCGTTGGAGGCGTTTGCTTGGCAGGTCTGCGCAGTTCTTTAAAACGGGATCTTCACTAACCTAACCTACTTGAAACTGCCGCTTGTGCGTCTCCCCATGCACCACACCGGACACCGCAGCCCTGAGAGGCG